GGTCCGCCCGAGTGTAGCTTTTTCAGTCAAGATGGACTAAAGCCGCATTGCCTACTTTCCCGGGTGTTGAGAGGGAGAGGATGATTTAGGGCTCAGCTTTTGCTCGAGGGCTAAGACGGGGCGCCGCGCCAAATACGTCCCCTAACAGTAGCCCCTCAAGGGTTTAGGCCAGCTTGATGTGGGCTGAAGCAGCACTAAACTAAGAGTAGGGTGAGCGGAGCTAGAAGCATGGTCATCACTAATGTATATGCATAAGGTAACTCATTCGGCTGATATATAACAATAGTGAGATAGATATGTAACATTAGTGAGATAGCTAATGGATATATAACAGCTATGAACACCTTCACTAATGGCTAGCTTGATAGGTCATCACAGCAGTCAGGCAGCATGGACCAACATGATCAGGGGCAGCATCTGCTTTTTTTTAGCAACACCACCCTCTTTATTTAAATAGGAGGATTGTACATATTACACACACCATCAGGTGGATTCAAGAACCACACATGCCGCTCTACCTCAGCATGGATCGAGCTACGAGCTATTCTATGAGCATCCGTGTTTGAGTCCCTATGCTCATATACAAACTCGACACTACTAAAAGTTGCCTTCCTCGCATTGATCTCCCGGATAACCTGTCCGTATATCCCGAGATCACCTTGTCGGATGCTCTTCACCATGTTCAGACAGTCACTAGCCAATCTGAAACTATCAGCTTGTAAGTCTGCAGCTAGAGCCATCCCTTCTCTACACGCGATAGACTCCATCACCTCTGGATCAACAATGCCCCGAAGGACCAACACTGAGGCGCCCATAAAACGCCCATCCTCGTCTCTCGCTATTGCTGCTGCCGAAGCCATGGATACATTCTTGGACAAAGCTACATCAACATTGATTTTAATGACACCTGAGGGGGTGCGATCCATGCCGGCTGCCGTTCGCGAACCTGAGCCTATGGCCGCTACACATGCGCCTCCTCTCCTAATTCCAACACAAGATTATCCACAAAATTATGCGTCGACAGAGGACTTTGATAAACATTCTCATGAATCGCCTTCCGCCGTGCATACCAAATAGCCCACAATGTGATTGGCACTCTAACGACGTCCTCTTGTGGTAAGATCTCTGTCATGATAGCCAGTAAAGGCTTAGCATCATTCTCCAAAATTCCACTTAGGAGCTCCAATATCTCTTCCTTCTCCAGCACCCAAATGCATCTCGCCATAGTACATTCCAGCAGAGAGTGTCTCCACGAGTCCTCCATCCCACAAAAGAAGCAGGCACTGCACTGTGCCATCTTCCTATGGTGAAGTATGTCTCCGGTCGGTAGCGAGTGCTTCGCTAACCTCTAGAGAAAAATACGGATTTTTGAGGGAACTTTCACCTTCCACGGCGACATCCATTCCCTCGCATCCGCTCGATGATCTGACCGGCCTGCATTATTCCTTGCGGGCGCATCGTGCTGCTTCCTTCGACGAACCAACATATAATACGCCAAGCGTACCGAGAAGCTGCCCCGTTTGTCGAAGTGCCAAGCCCAAAAATCCTCTTACCTTCTCGTATATAGAGGGATATTAGCAATCGTCATCGCATCAAGAGGGGTGAAGAACTCCTCTAGCATGTCACTTTTCCATGCCGCTTCAGCTAGTTCACTGACGAACTGAGGTTGGTTTGGTTTAGCCAACCTGAAAGGGCATCGCAAAATTTCTGATGGTAGCCAATTCGTAGTCTAGATTGTCGTCTTTTTCTCACGTGCCTATGCGTTTTATCAAGCCCTCCTTTAGCACTTCGCGTCCATCAACAATGGACTGCCATATGTGTGACAAGGTGGAACCAAGATCGGCCTCCAGAAAATCCTGCCTCCCTGGATACTAGACAGCTTTTAGAACTCTAGCACTCAGGGAGTTCGGTTCTTGTAATATCCTCCAAGCTTGCTTCGCTAGCAAAGCAAGATTAAATAGCTCCATGTCTCGAAAGCCCAGGTCGCCAATAGATTTAGGCTTGATCATATGGTCCCAGGCCACCCAACATGTCTTTCTCTTGCCATCCTTACAGCCCCACCAAAAATTCCTCACCAAGCTGGTTAAATGCTCACAAAGACCCTTTGGCAGTCTGAAATAAGACATAGAATAGGTTGGAACAGCCTGCGCCACTGCTTTTATTAAGATCTCCTTTCCGCCCGCAGACAAGCACTGTTCCAACCATCCCTCAACCCTACTCCAAACCCGGTCCTTCAAATACTTAAAGGCCCCGTTTGTAGCAGTCCCGACATCTGAAGGCATACCAAGATATTTTTCACTCAAAGCCTCATTATAAACCTCCATCTCGTTCTTGATAACATCACAGATTTGCTGCCTGACGCCCTTTGCAAATTGTATGGATGATTTCTCCATATTGATTCTTTGTCCTGACGCTGAGCAATATGATTGTAAGACCCCCTTCATCAACAAAGCATTCTCCCGATTTGCTCGAAAAAACAGCAGGCTGTCATCTACAAAGAGAAGATGGCTCACCATCGGTGCCGACGGTGCCACCGTAATACCTTTGAGCACTGATGACTGAATTCTTGATTTTAACAGGCACGAGAGGCCCTCTACTGCTAGAAGGAACAAGTAGGGAGAAATTGGATCTCCTTGTCGTATGCCGTGTGTCGGTCTGAAACTTTCAAGTTTGTCACCATTAAATAGAACTAAAAACGAAACCGACCTAACAAACCTCATGATTGTGTCCACCCAACGATGATGGAAACCAAGCTGGCGCATTATCGCATCGAGATATTTTCATTCGACTCGATCATATGTCTTCTTCATGTCCAGCTTCAGAGCACAACATCTCAGATCACTTGCTCGTTTTCGCTTCATAAAATGCAGGCACTCATAAGCGGAGATGATATTGTTCGTGATGAGGCGGCCAGGGACAAAGGCCGATTGCTCCTCAGAAGTAATTTTGGACAAGAAAATCTTCAACCTATTCGCCAACACCTTGGATGCAATTTTATATATAAAACTGCACAGGCTAATGGGTCGAAACTGACCAATTTTCTCTGGACTAGCCACTTTCAGAATCAGAACGATCAAAGTTTCGTTGACGCCCGTTGGCTCCTCCTCACCATTAAGAAGCTTCAGCACCATGGCTGTAACTTCCTTGCCGCAAATCTCCCAATGTCGCTGAAAGAAGTGCGCCGGAAAACCATCGGGACCCGGTGTTTTTTTCGAAAACATTTGGAACAAAGCCTTCTTTACCTCCCCCTCCTTGTAGGGATCAAGTAGGGTCCTATTCATTTCAGGTGTTACCTTAACAGGAACAATGGATAGCACCTCTTCCATGTTATCCGTACCCTCAGAGGTAAACAAATTGCTGTGGAAATTGGTGACAATTTCACGGAGCTCAAGAGCAACCTCGGTAAACTGCCCATCCGACTTCCTTAGTCGTGAAATCTTATTTCTGCTTCTTCTCCCGCTCGCCCTTAGATGGAAGAACCGAGTGTTCTTGTCTCCGGCTGTCAACCACGAAACTCGAGATCTCTGCCTCCACATAATTTTCTCACGGTGGTTAAACTCTTGAATTCGCTCAACCAGCTTCAATTCCTGCTGGGATGGGCCCAACCGCCCTGGATCCGACTACATCTCCTCTAGTTTCTTGTTTAATTTCCAGAGCTCATGTCGTACTTGATCAAAGGTTGTGCGCTTCCAAACAGACAAGTGCCCCGACACACCTTTTAGCTTCTCCTGTAGCTCGCTCAGTGATTTTGCCTCGCCTTCCCGTTGCCAGGAGTCTGCTAGCGTGCCTGAAAAATCCAGGTGTGTCTCCCAAATTTGTTCATATATGAACCGTTTACCCTGCCGTTGCCTAGTAACCGTCGGTCTCCACTCTAGGAGAATTGACCCATGGTCTGAAGCAGCAGCTGCCAAATGCTAAACTTTTGCCTGAGAAAATCTGCTGCACCAATCCGCGGTGGCGAGACCGCGGTCCAAACGGACACGACAATACGAGCCTCTCGCCACCTTCTTTTCGAAGGTCCAACTGCGGCCCTCAAAGCCAAGGTCATTGAGGCCGCATAAGTCGACCATCTCTCGGAATCCCTCGAGCTTTGCTCCTTTTTTGAACGCCTATGTGCTCCGATTGATGTAACCTCATTAAAATCACCAATACAAACCCACGGTAGTGGGGATGACTCCACGTCTTGTGTCACTCGCTTAGTTGCGCCTCTCCATACACACATGTAAGCCTCGAAGGTTCTCTATCACCTTCTATAAGAATAACATCAATGTGATACAATGAGTATGGTAACAGTTTCACTCGCACATTATTATTCAAAAAATTCCTCAGACTACCACTGCGGCCTGTACTACTTACAACAAACGAATGATCAAAACCTAAGGTGTTCTTCAAATTTTTCACCCGCGACCTATGCACTTGGTCCCCTGAACGCACCGCACGAATGGGGCAAAACGTCTCGCCAATTTGCGAAGCCCTTTCAGTGCCGCGGCGTTGCCGAGGCCACGACACTTTCAGCTTAGACAACTCATTAAGCTAGACAGGCTCCCTCCTCGGAGTCCGCCTGAAAAAGAACTGCACCGCTGCTATTTTGCAGCTTCGCCTTCTTCTTCTTATCCTTCAGCTTCGCTTCCGTCGCGGCGGAGTCGCCGATCCCACCTCCGTGCGGTCGTACAAACCTTGAGGAGGGATCTACTAGGAGCAGCATCTACTAGACTGCTATAGCAAAGGACATGTTAGCAGGCTCACGGCTGAGCTGAGTTGCTGTGGATATTGATTGTATATGGGCTGGGACCCTGGGACCTGTTTCTGCGACACGGCCCATGGGCCAGCACTGACTACACGGCGGATCGCAGTCGCAGAGCCGCAGAGGCAGAGCGCGACGCCGCCGCTCGTGCCGTCGTGGCGGCGCTCTGCCTTCGCCGACCGCCCGCGCCGCTTCCCTCCCAATCCGAGACCGAGAGGCAGCCGTGAGGAGCTTTCAGCTGCCGTCCGCCGCCACCATGCTCCGGCATCTCCAGCGATCCCTCCGCGCTATTCACTGCCTACCCGTCACCGGCCACGCTGCCTGCAACCCCGTCCCCCTCCACCGGTGAGTTCCTTCTCTTCCGTTACCCAGTCCCCTACCATCAGTCTTTATCCCTTCAAATCACCGTGTTTCCCTTTCCTTCTTTTCTTGGATTTGAGGAAACCGAGCTATGTTTTCTGAACTCCGGAGAGTAAAGTATTTCTGGTTATAGATAAAAACTAGTTCTTTTTTTCCCCGTTGGCAAGCGTCTATATCTGTGAATTGTGATGGTGGGAATTGCATTTCTGTATAATTTGATTGTCAACAATAAATTGCAAGCTCCTAACTCTGTACTCCCTTTTATTAGTTTCATTCATAGTTTATAGTCTCTTTAGGAGATAGTGTTTAATTAACTTTTCTTTTACTTACATTGTGCAGGTTATGGGATTCACACATAGAGGTACACGCGCCTGCATCCTAAGCAAGAAGTTGCTCTTCCTTAACTCTGTTTATTAGTCCTAAACTAGTTGCACCTCTGGCTTATCTGTTTAGCCTGTATCTGGTTCGTGTAACAAGCATGCTATCAGAGATTTCTCTACTTCCAAAAGAGTTACAGGAGATCCAATATATCAGCAGAATGAGTTAGAACCAACTACGCCTGTGAAGGTATCCACAACACTATCACAGTATCACATTTTGCTTTCTAATATTTCTGTTTATCTTCGTTACTACTTTGTGTTGCCAGTCTTTCCTTTCTGGTTGATCACTATTCAGAAATCCTATATTATTTTTAGATGCTCAGCATGTCAAATAACCTAGTCGATATTCAAAATACACATCATTCTTCGGATGCACTAATTGCATTGAATAGTTTCTTGCAAATTTCTGGGTTGCTTCCGTACAAGCATTTATAATTCTTTAGTTTGGTTGCTTTGTTTAGCTTCAGAATAAGGTGGGGATAAAAGAGTTTATTTTTCTTATAAACAGGATACTGACGTAATAATTGATCGCATACGAAAGAGCACAAGAAAATTGGAGGAAGGACCTGTTGGAAAAAATCTGCCTTCAGCGGAGAAAAGGAAATTTCTTGTCAACACTGTATGTACAGATAGTATTGATATAATTCGTTTACCTTGTATGGAAAATATTCTAGTACGTTTCAAATGATGTCGATACACATGCTAATAACGTGTTTACAAATATTTCGGAAATTGTAAGTGACAATGAAAGAAACACTGACAGCATTTTCTGGCGTTCATGTAATTCCATGTTCTGATTACCAGATACAAATTGTGCAACTGTGCAAGACATTTTATATACAGTTTCATTTCACCTGCATGATAATAGATATTAGTGAGTTCACATTTCACATGATTTTCTTGATTTCGGTAGAAGAGTGATAACAGCTAATTCATTATATGATGAATTGTTGACCTAGGAAAGTAGATTATGTGAGCACCTGTCGGTTCTTTGAATGACTAATTATGTATAAAAAGAACAAAACAGTGCATTAATCTTCTGGTATTGACCTGGCTGGCCACCTGAGTGCACATATTACAACCTTCATTCTTGTTCAGTGTGGATGAAATTACACCACTTGTGCATATTGAAAAATTTTCAATTTATTGCAGTCATTTAGCTGCTTTTGCCTAGTGCAACAAAATAACCAAATACTGCATTCTCTAACTGCAGCTTCTTAGCCTCGAAGATTCAAGAGAAGCTGTTTATGGAACCCTTGATGCTTGGGTTGCCTTTGAGCAGGATTTTCCTTTGGCTTCACTAAAGCAAGCACTTTCAGTTCTTGAGAAGGAGGAACAATGGCATAGAATTGTCCAGGTATTGTATAGTGTAATCTGCCTTCATTTTTATTTGTCATCTGTCTATACACTTACACTGTGAAGTAAATGTCTTCTTTTTTTTTTTGAGATTCTGTGAAGTAAATGTCTGTGACTACATACTCAGGTGATCAAATGGATGCTGAGCAAAGGGCAAGGAAATACAATGAGAACATATGAGCTATTAGCATGTGCACTTGAGAAGGATAATAGAGCTGAGGAAGCACATAGAATCTGGCAGAAGAAAATAGGCCATGATCTGCATTCGGTTCCTTGGCGTTTCTGCCGTCTTATGTTGGCTATCTACTACCGAAACAATAGGCTAGACAGGCTCGTGAAGGTTTGGACCTAAACTTTGTAACTTTGTGATGCAGTTTATATTTTACTTTTACATGTTTTTCATTGCACTAGGCTTGTCTCGGTTTATCCCTTCCCCAGACCCCACTCATGTGGGAGCCTCCGGCACTGGGTCTGCCCTTTTTTATGTTTTTCATTTGATGAAGGGCAGGCCTGGTGCAAGCGGTAGAGTCTTACCGCCTGTGACCGGAAGGTCCCGGGTTCGAGTCGCGGTCTCCTCGCATTGCACAGGCGAGGGTAAGGCTTGCCACTAACACCCTTCCCCAGACCCCACACAGAGCGGGAGCTCTCTGCACTGAGTACGCCCTTTTTTTATGTTTTTCATTTGATAACGCGTCTTATATGAATTACTTTACCTGCCTCTTCTGATGATTTAGCTCTTCAAAGAACTAGAAGCTTGTGGTCGTAAACCTCCAAGCAAAGATATTGTACGGAAAGTCGAAGATGCATATGAAATGCTTGGATTACTAGAAGAGAAAAAAGCTTTGCTTGATAAATACAAGGATTTATACAACAAGCCATCTCGAAATGATCGAAAGAAAGGTTCCAAATCCAAAAAGACTGAGACTGATAAAACATCTGGTTAGTTTCCATTCCTCGTGTGAAAAGTTCCTTCAGACATTATGTACTATATGCCTGTAAAATTCCCGTTTGCTTCAGATGCTGAACTTAGTTCTTTTATGAGGATATATGACTAGCATTGTTTAATCCTTAGAGCATTCCCCCAGTTGCATGAAGTCAATTAATTTGTTAGGACACTAAAAATCACAACATTTTTATTCTGTTCTCAGCTGATGGCAGTAAGGAAAGCAATATGGAAACATCGGAAAATCTTGAAGATCACTGTTTCCCTTTAGATGAGAAATCAGATGCCTCTGCTTAGTCATGATAAGAGGTAAAGTAAACTACGCAGTCCATGTCTTTCAGTTTACAGTTATGTATTTAGAACTGCTGGTTGGACATTACATCTCCCTTGTTTACTCTCCTTCCAGATTCATCACTGATCCACTGACGTGGCCATAAGATTTGACCAAAACCAGATGCTGGCAGCATTAGCAATCTTCATGCTCTCAGTACACGTTTGCTTTTAGTAGATGTCTAGCTGAAGGAGCAAATAGCGTGTGCTCCCCTAATCTGAAACATATTTAATTTTTTTTCCCAATATTGTTGATAGTTGACGTTACTCTGATTTTTCTTTTTCCTTGTTTGGTTAGGCCAAACATATCTATCCACTGCCATCAATTCATATTTTTTTTTCTATACATGTTACAAGGACATTTTGTATTTGTGCTGAAAATTTTGGGAAGATCCTAAACGACTGTTGGCATAATCTGGCCCTCTGACTATGTATCAGCATAAGCATCGGCATAAGCCAAATTTATCATGTTGCTGCAACTCTTCCGAAGGTTAAAGAAAAGTATTCCTGTGTCAAAGGAGAATGTGGATAGCTATGATGACAAGTGAAGTGGGAAGCTAAAGCAGCTGCCCGGCCATATCTTTGCTTTCAGGATGCTTTTGCCTGCATTTTCCCTCTTATGTGCTTTGGAAACTTTGAAGGCAGCATTTCTGTTGGGCCCAGGCCGGCCTGATGAAGAGCTTTGGATACGGTGACATGGTGCTCCTTTTTTTTTTCTCGTAAAGGACGGCCTCTGGATGTATGTTTGATTCCCTCCTATGGCTAGTTTTGGCACTTGGATGGTGATGGTGGAAGTGGAACCCTACTACCCTAGTTGTCATGCCTCATGCATGCACATGTAGTGGGAGGAGTTGAAGTGGTTTGCACGCTCACTTCACTTGATCACCATACATGCATGCATATACAGTGGATTCGTACCCATGCATCCATGTTGCCAGCTATGTATATGTGTGAGTGACTTCGTTGCTACATGATTTGCATAGGTATTTTGCAAGGCTGAAGTGAGGAAACTGGGATGTGCATTCCACCCAAGCTGCGTAAGTGCATATATACATATATAGATCTATATATAGTGGTAGTGGAGGGCCTGCAACGACAAATTCGATTCCTCTGTAAAGCAAGCGTTTGTTTCTGACGTTTGTGCGCATCGAATCAGATCTGGCATTTCTATAATTTGGATTTGGACGTACGGACAGGACATGCTTGCAATGCCGTGGCTGCGTTGCTCACCACAGAATTGTGGATGCCAAAATTATTATTATTTATTATTATTATACTCAACTCAAATCCTGCATGAATACGATGACAGGTTTCCTGATTGTTGGCAATCCCAAGCCAAGTGCGTTCTGCTCTGTTTTTTAAGGCTCTCATTGAACATGGGAGTTTTTCCCCGTGTTTCCTTTTTTTTATATATATACGAACCGATTCATGTGGAATTATTACTACACGATTCCGGGGAAATCCTTGCGTTCCAGATGCGGCCTAAACAGGGAGGCATGCAATGCAAAGCAACGGAGTTCAACAACAGGGCGGAGTAAGAAATGAGCTGAGGCAGTAGGTACAGTACTGGTAGTAGTGAGGTGATATGCTCGTTGATTCAGAATGTCCTGGCACCATGCCCATCTTGATCTTGATCTTGATAGCAAGAACACTGGAGGGCTGGGGCAAAAACGAGTCGCTTCATGGCCCACGTGAAACATGATCCCAGGCCCAGCTTTCCACTGGAGCAGAGCTGTACTGTATTTAGTTGCTAGTGCGATCTTCGGACCAGGGGCGGATCTATGTTCATGGCGTGGCCACACCCACAAAAATTTAGAAAAACAGTGATTATGTTCAATTTTTCACCATATATACACCTATATAGTAAAAATCTATGCACCCACAGGACCAGCACACCCCCCTTGATTTTGCTGTAGCTCCGCCACTGCTTTGGACACTGTATTTGCGGCCAATACAATGCAAGTGGGCGAGACCTACGGAGTACCTCACTCTTACGCCCTATTGGTTGGAACTTATCTGTTCGACTTATTAGCTATGGCATATTATTTTTCTCTCACAACGAAATATCATCATCAGCTGGTTTATCAGCATCAACCTACTGCTCACTGTAGCGTAGATTAATCTGCTACGAGAATATTCCAAGTGCAGGAAACAAATGGCCTCCATATGAACATTGAATGAATTGTATAAATATGCACGTGCTTGAAGCGCAAATGCAGGCCGGATGTTGGTTCAGTTGCATGCCTCGAATCGAATAGCGCGTACCGGCCCGTATCACCAACCATTATACAATTACAATGCAACGACCTAAAACTAATTGTGTCGTAAACGGACACTGTCATGCATGCATGCAGCAGCAGAAAACTACTACTGTACTAGATTAGAACGCTGATGGTTCGAGACATGTTACTAGCAGTGTGATATAGAGAGAGAGTGTGTATATATATATATTAGAACTACTGTTCTGCAGCTGGCCGAAGAATAACTTATTCTATGGCCACTTTGAGTTATGATAATTATATGCTAATTTACGAAATTACAGTAACTCCTTACTAAGTAATTTACTATAATATTATCGTAAATATCACCTTGAGTTGTAGTAACATGAGTATCGTAAATGCATATCCATGTTATCGTAAATTGGTACAAATATTATTGTAAATCAAGGTGGCTATAGAATAAGTTATTCTATGGCCAGCTGCAGAATAGCCTTATATATATATATATTATGACATGTACAGCTAAAAAAGCAACTTGCATTGAGAACAAAGGCACGAACTACGTGCCTCATGATAAACCCAAGCCCTTTGTTTTGCTTCAAGCATTTCTGCCTGCATGCGTAGCCGGAATACTAGACACGGCAGCGCAATAACCAAAACTCAGCGTAGCTTATAATCCGTACTATTTAGCTTATTTTTTTTCAGCCGAAACAATATTTTTTTCTCACAACAATTCAGCTAGAACAGTATTTTTCAGCTAATTCAGCCAAATTTTAGCAAGCCGAACGGGACCATATTGAGCAGTACTATCTGTTAGTACTACACCCAGTATCCTGAAATACGGAATAATACACAGCTTGCTTGGTGTAGAATAGTATTCTACACTTAGTGTAGAATATATATATATATACAATAAATCATATTGCGTATATGTATATACTCATTTATCAGTTTGAGTATGTTGACATACTAATATTAAGATACTTCAGATCTTTACTATGTGTTTTTTTTTCAAAAGAGCACATATTTAGAATATATTATATAATACTATGATAGTAGCATATAAAATAAGTATAACAATATACTCTAAGTATACATACATACTTGTCATACATAGTACCCTAGATGGTCTAGTATGATGATATACTCCATCTACAGTGGCGGATCTTGAAAAAATATTTAGGAGGGGCTGAGCCAAAGAAAGCTAAACCAATTTAACACATTCCTCAACTAGAAACTCATATTTAACCTCTATATGGAGCACTGCAGCACCTTCTTGGGGGCTCTAATGGCAGCAAAATCCATGGGGGGGCGCTAAGGGGGGGCTCCAATGGCGTGGCCAGGGTAGGGGGGCTTGAGCCCCGGCAGCCCCCCCTTTAGATCCGCCCCTGTCTATCTATATATACTTCGTCGGGCCATATACGCCCTAAATCTAGAGATATATACCTGGAAGTAGAATATATATATATATATATATATATATATATATATATATATATATATATATATATATATATATATATATATATTTGTTACCCTGGGTACCAAATAATATTCAGTACCCGAGCCCGTCCGCGCGCAACCATTCCACGGCCCTGGTCCGTAGCTGACCCAGCAGCAGCAGCCAGCATGCACCACCCCCTCCGCTCCCGGCGCAGATTCTCTGACTTGCCGTGGTAAAGTTACGGGTGACTTTCCACCTCTCCGATGCCTTCCATTTAACATCCAACAGTTGAGGAAGGAAACAACTTTCTGTGTGTCGGCCGCTATGATGCTCGACCCAAATAATGCCCAGTTCAGAAGTGAGATGAACAAAAGAGCCAACCGACTCTTAAAAAACATGTGAGCTCAGATAAAAATAAATAAAATGTATATAAAGTTGTACAGCTCAAAAAATTCTAGAATTTTGTAGTTCATGTCTTTTTCATTTAAATTCATTTTGGTGTCTAAAAATTGATATAATGTTTAGATTTGTATTCACAAATCTAAACAACATATCGATTATTTCAGTATTAAGATGGTTTTAAACGAAAATATTGTCAACTACAAGTGGGCCCATCTCTTTAGTATCTGCAATTTTCGTATGAATTTTATCTCTTCTAGTGGACATGCATGTGCGGCGCGCACGTGTTTATGATTGTGATATAAAAAAGAGGATAAAAACATAAACTTTAGTCAACTTAACATTGTTTTTTATAGAATAAACTTAAAGATGGTTTGACTTATGACAACAATAAAACCTTAAAATAGTAGATATATATCACATAAAAATGAATTCCAACAAAATCGAAAGATCCAAATACATTCAAGCATAGCTTCACTATGTAAAGGTAAAGCTTGTCTTTAGAAAAAAATTATACAAAATTTCATATTTCTCTGAGCTGTAATGAATTAGTACCAATTTTATAAAGATTTAATTAGGTTTTAATAAATCTTTATTATTGAAAAAATG